GGCGCCTGGGCTCGCGCGGGTGTGGGGGGGCGTCCCCTGCCGCGGGTGCGCGGAGCTCGCAGCCTGCAGGCTGCGACAGTCCTGGGCTCGCGTCGTGCGTGCGTGCAACCCCGTGAGGCCACGGACGACAGCGAGGTGAGTGGCGGCGGGAACAGGGTCCCCATCTACCACCCGCACCCAACTTGAGATATTTGGGGTGAGGGTGGGCTGGGGGGTGGGGAGGTTGGACAGAGCAGTTGCTGTTTTTGCATGCAGATTCCGCAAGGTGGTAGCATGGACTCTTGCTAGGATTGGGGTATTTTGCTTGAATTATGACGATTACTGTCTTTCTCCGTGGTCACTGAGGGGAGCGGGGCTCCTGGGTTCCTACCCCACGCCTCTCTGTGGAAGGCTCCGCAGCGGCGAGGTTGGAAGGCGAGCGACCCGTTGCTCGGATCTGTTCTCGTGACACGGGGTGCCCGCAGCCTCCACCTCATAGTCAGGCCTCGCTGTGATTTAGGGGGTGCATGGGGGTGGGGGGGCAGGGAAAAAAGAAAGAAGAAAAGAAAAAGTTTGCAGGGAGCTGGTTACCCCGACAGGGCGACCGGGCGGAAGGGTCTGAGCGTGCAGGTGCAGGAGTGCTGCGGGCTCACAGCAGGACTTGCAGCTCTCACAGCAGGACGTGCAGCTCTCTCACAGGAGGACGTGCAGCTCTGGCAGGGACCCCGTTGGATTTGGAAATTCAGCGTCCAGGATCTGAAAGCTGAACTGGGGATGAACGAAGCAGGTGGGGAAGATCAGAGGGGCTCAGGGTTGCAATCCCAACTAGAACATGGCAGATCCAGGAGGACCCATCCAAGTGGCTGGTGGAGAAATCTGCATTTCTGTAGGGGCTGAGCTCGCTGGGGAGTGGAGAATTATTTCATGCCTTTAATTGGCTGTGCAGGGCAGTAATCCTCTAAATCCTTAGCAAAGAGGTCCCTTTGTAGACGGAACAGAAAACGAGCGAGCGCGAGGTACAAGAGTTGCAGTCATAATCTCTCATTGTCAGGGAAAAAAAAATCAAATGTTAAATTTTCCTGCAATTAAGGCCACATGCATTTCATACAGACTTCTACAAATATGTGTTTGCTCAGTTGGGAAACTCAGAGAATTCTATTATTCAAGGAAGTGTAGGATGAATATATATATATATATATGCAAACATATATGTAAACATCTGTATCTCTATCACCTACATATCTGCATCTATAGATCTACATCTATATCTGTGCACATATGTATATTATATATATATGTCTTTGACATGTAAGGATATAATCAGGACAAATTGTAGCAACTGGAAAATTACTTCACCCGTTTTAAATCAGCGGATTAAGATAAGAGGTGTTATTTATTCATTATTTTGCGGGGAAGAGTGCTTTCCAGCAGAAGATTTAGAGATAATTCTATTTTCACTACAGTGATCACGTTTGGTGGTATTTTGAAGGTCCTTTGATATATTCATCGAAGGTAGAAGTGTGGCTTTAGATTTAAAAAAAAAAAAAAAAAGAACAACTGAGACAATACTGAATACATAGCCTTAAAAGGGGAAGATCACGGAAGGATAGAAAAGATACTTGGTAAAGTGATTGATTGCTACCCACGGCGGTTAATTCAGGGGCTCCAAAGCTCTTAAAGGGACAAGCAAGTAGACTGGAACGCATGAGCAAGTTCATGATTTGTGGACCTGGAAGGTAGAATCATCATATATGGCGTTTTCTATATTTGTGAACTTGGCTTTTTTCCCCCCTTTGTAGTAATTTGTGGGAAGCCTCTGTGTACTCTATACACAAATCTAGGCACCTATGATCCGAACTGGCAAAAAGCATCACTTTCAGAATACGCAGGAGGCTCTTTAAGAACTCTTTATAATATTCTGCTTTTTTCTGTCCTCTGCCCCAAAATATAGAAAAGTTCTCCCAAAAGTAAACATCCAGGAGCAGGGCAAAAGACCTCAGTTTAGTCTCTCCTTGTGGTAATTGTGACTCCTTTATGTTAAACCCTGCTAAGTTGTCAGAGGTTGGTTGGTAATGGAATTTGTTCATGGAATTTATTATTTCCCCACGAAGTCAATGATGAAACTATTTTAAATTTTGTGGTAGATTCATTCTGAGCACTGGTTTATCTGTCTAAAGCATTTTTACCTGTCTAGCAGGTAAAGAGGTCATTTTAGTATGTGAAGCCCAATTTTAAGATCAGGCTGAGTCTTTTCTTTTGCATAAGAAATGATACATTCCTGTATTCATTCTGCAATTCTTTCTACTCTTATAAAGTACATATGATAATCTCAATGAGATAAATAATTCCATGTGTTCAGTTTAGTTTAAGTCAGTCCCCCCAGCTTTTTTTTTTCCTTTTTCAGGGAATGGACTTCCTCTCCTACTTAATTTTGTTAGAATTCTCCCATAGACTAAGCCTTCTCCGCAACTACATCTGGATTCTCGAACAGTTACCAGAAGTTTCATGTCTCCTCAGTAGGTCTCTGCAGAGCTAGGTCTCTATATCAATC